TCTTTTACTTTTCTGACCTGAACCGGCCTCCCCTACTGCCCATCTCTCTACATTTCATTCTTCCCCCTTTCTGCTGCCAAATTAACATTGGGGAAGCTTTGACCAGGGAAATGAATGAGTTAAAAATGTCTGTGGCATAAACATCTTCCACAGTATGGCCTCAGCTTTGCTTTCCAGCCTTCCCCTTTCCCCCCAGTACGGGAATGAGTCAATTCAGTGTTTATCAAGCACCTCAAGTGAGCCAATGACTGTGCTAACCACTGGGCTAAACTTATCTACACTTTTCAGTGATCAGGTATTTACTGAGCACTTACTATGTACCCAGTTCTGTAAAGTTCTCTTTCAGTTTAATCCTTGAACTGAGTCTATGTCCCTAAGAGAATTTAATGTCATCTGCAAACACAGAGATTTCCTTGGTCCTCAGTTAAATTTGAGAGACATTCATTGATGCTTAGGTGTGTTTTATTTTTTTAAAAAAGATTTTATTTATTTGACAGAGAGAAAGAGAGAGAGAGAGCACACAAGCAGAGGGAGTGGCAGGCTCCCCACTGAGCAGAGAGCCTGACACAGGGCTTGATCCCAGGACCCCGGGATCATGACCTGAGCCAAAGGCAGACGCTTAACCCACTGAGCTACCCAGGCGCCCCTCAGATGTGTTTTATTGAGTACCTATTTTGGTTAGACCTTATGCTAGATGCTGTCAGTAAAGAAAAAGTAATGCCTAGTTCCTGCCCTCAGAGTACCCATGACCTATGGAGTAACAAACATGTAAATCAAGCATGACAATATTTCAGGAGGGCTAAGAGAGAGAGAGTTGCCCAGTGGACTGTGGGAGCTCATAGAAGGGGCCCCAAACACAGCCTCAGGACATCCCGGAAAGCTTAGTGACCTTTATTCTGAGTTTTGTCAGAGGATAGAGGTTAGGTGAGGAAAGGGTTGAAGGACATTCAAGCAGAGGGAACACATGGAAAGGCACATACATGTATGGAAACCGCGTGAAGCATTCAGGAAACTGCAGAGTTCAGAATGGCTGAAGCAAAAGATATTTGGGGGAGAAGGGTGGGCTATGAGGTGAAGAAGTGGTCGGGAGTCGGGGCTTATGGAGCATCATGGGCCAGGCTAAGGAGCCACAACTGACGACAACGGGGTCACTGGAGGGTTTGGAGCAGGGCTGTGCTATATATAATCAGATGTGTGCTTCAGAAGGATCCCTCTCGTAGAAGTATGGAATGACAGTTGGTGGAGACCAAGGCCAAGGTCAGCAAACCTTGCCCGTAAAGGACCAGACAGTAAATATTTTAGGCTATCTGCAGACTCTACAGTCTGGCAACTACTTAACTCTGCCTTGCAGTGCAGAAGCTGCCACAGACCATAGGTAAACAAATGGGCACAGCCGAGTCCAATAAACCTTTACTGATGGACACTGAAATGTGAATTTCACATCATTTTCATGTGTCACGAAATGTTCTTCTTTTGATTTTTGTTCAGCCATTTAAAAAAATGTATAAAGCATTCCTAGTTTCAGGCCATACCAAAACAGGTGGCAGAGCAGATTCCATTGGCTGTACTTTGCTAATCTCTGGACTAGCAGATGAGAGTGTAGAGAATGTAGCCAACTCTTTGGAGAAGCTCATCTCTGATGGGGAGAGAAAACTAATGTGGTAGTGGAGGCAGGTGTAGACAAAGGCCTGTTTCTCAGAAGAGATCTGGAAGTGGTTTTGGAGAACAGGAAGAGATAGTGGGCCAGTTTTGTAAGAAATGAGTCACGGGGTTGAAAGGCACAGCATAGGAAATATAGTCAGTGGTATTGTAATGGCGTTACATGGGGACAGAGGGCAGCTACACTTGTGGTGAGCACAGCAGAACGTATAGACTTGTGGAATCACTATGTGGTACACCTGAAACTGATAATGTAACACTGTGTGTCCACTAGACTTCAATAAAAAGAAAGCTAGTGGGGTGCCTGGGTGGCTCAGTCGTTAAACGTCTGCCTTCAGCTCAGGTCATGATCCCAGAGTCCTGGGATCGAGCCCCGCGTTGGGCTCCCTGCTCGGCGGGAAGCCTGCTTCTCCCTCTCCTGTTCCCCCTGCTTGTGTTTCCTCTCTGGCTGTCTCTCTCTCTGTCAAATAAATAAAATCTTTAAAAAAAAAAGAAAAAGAAAAAAAAGAAAGCTAGTGGACAAGGAGCCATTGAAGATGGTGGAGGGAGATGATGGTTGGAGTAGATCCTGGAAGAGGCAGGGAGGAGGTGATGGAATGCAGAGTACAGACTGCAGTGTATGTTTTGTAAGGGAGGAGGAAACATCTCTTTCACTGAGGCCAGAGGGGAGGAAGAAAGGAGGGGCATTAATAGGATACCTAAGTAGGTGGCAGGGTAAGGAAGGTGAGGACTATTTTCTTGAGGATCTTGATTTTCGCAGTGAAAAAGGAGGCAAGGCTCAAATTCCAGGTGATTTATTGGTACGGGCCTCGAATCAGCCAGGATGAAAGCAGGGCTGGGGCGGGGGAGGGAGGTTGCTGTGACCCAGATGCCCACAGCCTCCATGAATGTACAGGAGTGACCAGGAAGTCATTAGGTGACAAGGAATGGAGAGTGTTAGAGCTTAAAATGAAGGCTGAAGGAGTGAGGAGCTTGGAACAACAATGGGGAAGTAAGCTGAGTGGCAACTCCTTCAGGCCACATGATATAGGGCGTGAGTTGCACTTATTGTATGTGTGCATGTGTAAGACAGTGGGGTGGTGAGGCGATAGCACCCCCTGAAACAGCCTCAGAGCACGTGATGTCCTGGGTGAGATTCAAGTACCCGTTAAAGGAGGAGACAGAGGGGACATCAGTGCAGCAACTGGCTTGGGTTGAGAGAGGGATACATTCTCAGGGGAGCCAAAACTCATAGGGATTGACCCACTTGGTAGAATCATTGCCATGTCAAGATTCCTCCTGGAACTGTGATATAAAGAGGTGGCTGGGTGAGGGGGCATACTAAGTAGCTGGGGCCTGTAAACAGAGGTAGAGTCCGGTGCTTGAAGACATTTGCTTACTGGTCAGGCAAGCAATCTCTGACTTTGGTTTTTTCTTTTTTTTTCCAAGTTCCAAACACTAAGAGACTGAAAAATGATTTTGTGCTGAGGCAAAACAGCCTTGGATTAGGTGGTCAGGCCTGAAGAAACAGGTAAACTAATTTGCTAGGTCTTCTGGGGTAATCAAGCTAGGTCTGGGGAAGGGACAGTGGGGAGACTGAGAAGGATCCTCACCTGGGTTTCATAAAGCCCAGCCCTGTGTGTACAGGGCAGTGTGGTTAGGCTGGAACCAGGGTATAGGGGACAGGCAGCCATGAGATTTCTTGGGAAGGTACAGACAGACCCAAGTACTAACAGGAGAAAATGCTTCACAGTCCCTGGGACAGTTCCTGACCTGACAGGGATGGAATTTGGAGTTGAACACCTGTTCTAGGTCTTTTTTTTTTTTTTTTTAAGCTCACTATCCTCACAGAACGTAATGAGCTGGTTAGTGGGAGTGAATCCAGAATGGGGTAGCTTGGAGTTGCCTGGATGTTATTTGTCTTAGCAAGGAGGTGATATAGCCATGAGATGAAAGCATTTAAGAATCAGGACTTCTAGTAGGACGCCTGGGTGGCTCAGTTGGTTAAGCGTCTGCCTTTGGCTCTGGTCATGGTCCCAGGGTCCTGGGATGGAGCCCTGCATCATCGGGCTCCCCACTCAGCGGGAAGCCTGCTTCTCTCTCTCCCTCTCCCACTCCCCTTGCTTGTGTTCCTGCTCTCGCTGTCTCTCTGTCAAATAAATAAATAAATAAAATCTTAAAGAAAAGTCAGGAGTTCTAGACAGAATGATAGGAATTGGATTGATAGTACCATTGATGATATGCAAAATTTGAAAAAGAATTCATGTTTGTAAGGGGAAGATGAGCTCATTTCAAAGCAGTTCTAGGTTTTTAAGCTTGGTAGGTCCCTCAACAGGATGTGCTCAGTATCCCACTGGTAGAGGCCTGAAGGGAGAGTGGCAGGTCAGGGCTGGGGATTTGTAGTGCATACGTGTAGAGGTAGAAATGAAAGTCCGGAGAAGACAAAAAGCCCACAGAGACTAAGGTGTGGTTTGATAAGTATGGAGAAAACAGGAAGCCACTGTTCTCCAAGAGGTGAGAACTGTGAATCTTCTGGGGTGCCAGGTGGAGAGGCTGAGAGTAGAGAAAATACTCTTGGAGGAAGAGAGATGAGAGATGGTGTCAAAGGTGACTTCCAAGCTGGGGAAATTTGTGTTAGAACAGCAGGAAAAAGGAGCAAGAAGAGAAAGAGAAACGCACCACACCTCAAAAGATTTCCTCTTTGGGACGGGAGAGGAGTGTTTGGAGCTTGGGTAAATTTGAGCACACACCGACTGAATCTTCTTTGCGAGATGAACGAGTGTCTCTGTACAGGTTCCTGACGTGAGAGATGACTCGCATCTCGGGTGGCTGACATGTAGAGAAAGCTGAACGTACAGACACACGCATATTCCTTGCCTTTGAGTCAATTTTTTTATGAACTACTACAGTGTTGTTGGTTTTTTTCCCAGTGAGGACAGAACAAGGAGAATCCGATTTAAATGACAGAGATGGAGTTCTAGGCGTCCCCCGAGGGGACAGCTTCTTATCCAGTTAAGAGACACTGGGGGACAATATTGAGATGGGTTATGAAAGCTCGATTCCCCTGCGAGCTCTAAGAATAGGACCAAAGTAGACCTATCTCGATCCGCCTCTGCTTGATTACGCCGAGCTGAGGTTTCTTTTCCAGAAGGCCGTGGGCTAGATGCGACAGCCTTTCGTTCCCTGGCAGGACCTGAGTGTGCGGCTGCGGGGAGCCGGTGCAGTGGAGGCCCGAAGGGCAAAGGGATGGGGCCGAGCGAGCCAGGCGTGCCGCGTCCCCTTTAAGAGCGGCGGCGGTGGCGGCGGCCGCGGCGGCGGCGGCGGCGGCGCGCGCTCCGACGGCTACCCTGGGGCCCCGCCCCTTTCCCGTGAGCCCTCGGGGAGTGGTCCGACCGCGGGCGGCTGCGGGTGAGGAGCGGGGCGGGGGGCGGGGGGAGCCATGGCTCGGCGCGGCTGGCTGCGGGCGCCCCTGAGCCGCGGCGGCGGTGGCGGCGGCGGTGGCCCCGGGGCCCGCCGGCTCATGCGGCCGCTCTGGTTGCTCCTCGCAGTGGGCGTCTTTGGCTGGGCCGGGGCTTCGGACGGCGCCGGCGGAGCGGCGAGAGCCATGGACGAGGAGATCGTGTCCGAGAAGCAAGCCGAGGAGAGCCACCGGCAGGACAGCGCCAACCTGCTCATCTTCATCCTGCTGCTCACCCTCACCATCCTCACGATCTGGCTCTTCAAGCACCGCCGGGCCCGCTTCCTGCATGAAACCGGCCTGGCTATGATTTATGGCAAGTGCCTCAACCCTTGTCCGCCCCCTGGCGCTCCCCCTTTCTCTGCCCGCCGGCTGCTTCGCCTCCTCTCCTGGCCCTGCTCGGCCTGCGTTCGGCTCCCCTTCTGATTCCTTTCATTTTCTGCCTCGCCTTCTCCCCCACCCCCGTTTCTCAGCCTCGTCCCCCCTTTTTCTGTTTTGCCCCCCGTTTTTCTACCTCACTCCATTTCCTCAGCTTCGCCCCCCGTTTTCTCTGCTTCGCACCCCCTTTCCTTTGCCTGTCCACACCTTTTTTTCCTCCGACCCCACCCCCTTTTTCTTCCGCGCATCACCCCCCCTCCGCCTCTGCCTACCAAGCTCGGGACCCGAGACTGAGGATGGGAAGGGAGTGGGTGCGGTGTCTCGGATTGGGCTGGGGACTGGGGGAGGGGAAGACAGCATAGCGATCTATTTCTCTGGGGTGTCAGTTTGTTTAAGGTCCACTGAAGCTGCAGTAGTATCTCTACTGCTCAGGATCTGGCGTCCTTTTGGAACCAGAGTCCACCTTTACCCATCACCCAGCTCTTGCTACGCCCTGTCCTTTCGAGGTTGAGAATGAAAACCTTACCTCCCGTGTAGCGCAAGTGAAAACCCGAACGCAAAAGAAGCTACAAGGAAGGCTTGGGATATTTTTAATGACATCCTGATTTATTGTACTGTGCTCGTAATATCTGACTAGGATACGTATGGTCTTCGGTCCTAATCCAGGCGTATCGAGGTGAGGACAGGAAAGAGTTAAAGATCTCCCAGCAGTGTGTTGTACTATACGCTGATCAGGACAGTTCAGCCAAACAGTGATTAGGAACACCACGCATATGCAGTATGGGTGACTTGCTGATGGCATAAGGTTATTGACAGATGACTGAGTAAATGGCTTCAGTTCTGTTGTCTTAGTGTGCTTTCCTTTTGAGATTTCTTATTTATGTATTTTTATATTTTGGTCTTAAAGCGAGAAGGGCAAATCAAACCATGGGCTCACAGGCATTTTGGCCTGCTCCGAGGCCTCATGAGAGGTAAAGATGTATATTGCTGACTGTCTTAATGTGACTGTGAGGGTATAGGTGGCTGAAGACATGAGGGTGGACAGACAATCCTTTCTGTGCAGTTCGTGAGTGAAGATTATCTTCATATGGAACAGGCTTAAACTGATGAGCTTGTTGAGCTTTGTTTCTCAGACTTGCAAATAGGTTGAAGAAGCCTTGGCACAAAAGAGACATTTCTCCACGACCCTCCTCCCCAGCCCTTTCCAGTAAATACAGACTTCTGGAATGTGCATATGTGCATCTCAAGGGTGACAAAACAAGGCAGTTGTGTGCATCAGGAAAATGCATGAACTCAGGTTTATTTTTCATCTGTAAGGTAATATGATTCTAAGCCTGTGTGCAAATATCTCTGCTCCCTAGGATTCTTAGTTTTTAGACATATTAGATGGTTTTCATACTTCATATTTTTTGCATTTTACTTGCAGCGCCCCTTAAGCTACACATCTCTATATAATTTCTCTGTATAACAATGTATGATTTATATTTACTATATTGAACAAACATTTGCTAGTCAGCCAACTATGTATTAGGCACAGAAAATACAAAGAAATAGAAGATCTCCACCTTCAAGGCACTTAGCCCTCTTGGGTAGACAGATCACATAAAGAAAATAATGGCATCTTAAATTCAGTTAAATGCCAAATGAGTATTATGGTGTTAAAATAAGGAACTGATCACAGAAGCCTCTTTCCTCCCTATGGAGAGAGTATGATGTAGTGGTTAAAGGTGCAGGGCTTCAGGGGCGCCTGGGTGGCTCAGTTGTTGAGCATCTGCCTTCGGCTCAGGTCATGGCCCCGGTGTCCTGGGATCGAGCCCCGCATCGGGCTCCCTGCTCAGCAGGAAGCCTGCTTCTCCCTCTCCCACTCCCCCTGCTTGTGTTCCCTCTCTCGCTGTG